GAAACGTTTCCAAAGGTTTTCACTTGCAATCTCACCGCACCACTCGATCTTAATGCATATGCAAAGTTTGATCTCACTTAGTGGAACTAGATAACCATATTAGCAATGATTTGCCCCTCTTTGTATTATGGCTATATATATCCTATTAATGGATCTGGCCATCTTATTGTTTACTAATCACCATATGGCTGGTGAAAATGAAGCCCTATGCATATACCTTTTGCCTTCAACTTTGCATTCATCATTTGCTTTCCATCATCCATCATCTCTTCTCTTGTTGAGCCTTGCATACTCATGGCCCTTGCCATCTCTTCTTCCATGGATCCATGTAGCTAAATCCTAGCTTGTGGACTAAACATCACCTTTCAGCTGACAAATGAAATCATTAGTCCACATGTGTATCATTCAATTACCAAAACCCAAATGTGTCTTTTAGGGGGAACTAACATTTTTTGTCTAGAAATGGTCGCGCAAATGGTCACTACTCATCCTCCTCTTATGCCTATAAGGCCTTCTTGAGCAATCAGTCATCTTGAGAGAAAAGATCTTTTGGAAGACTAAGGCACCTAGCAAATATTATTTCTTCATCTGGTTGGATTTGCTTGGTCGTAGTTGGACATCTAGCAGACTTTGTCAACATGGTATGCGTCAAGATGGCGTCTGCACCCTTTGTGCGCAAGAACTTGAAATAATTGGTCATCTGCTGGTTGGCTATGTTTACATAGAAAGGAACTTGATTCCAGGTGCTTTGAAGAGTGGGGCTGTTACCTCTAGCGCAGGCACCCACACCTACTGGACCCGAAATCCGTAGGGCCCCGACCTGAAACTGCCCCACAACCATCCCTATTCTCATCGGTAGTCATAAGATTTATACCGCAACAGCCACACCATAGTTTAAACTATGGTAACTAAATCCATATATGAAAAACGCAGCTGATAAGTTTCTCACAACCAGATATGATCTTTAAAAAGAAAAGAGTCTATAGCTCTTCGACACATTTTATATCTACTTCAGTCATACTTTATTGGAGTTATTTGACGCAAAGAAGGAATAAATAAAGATTAGGATCCTAGCCTTGTTCTGTTTGAAGTTCCTAAGAAAGGCTCCAAAATAAAGGGATGCTAAAAACAAGGATTTAGAGTCTTAATTATTACTCTATCAATCCACATAAAGGTAGGGTGGCATACCCTATCGAGGAAAGAGCGAACGAAGAAGCAAAGCTACATAGTATCTATTATGTCAATTGTGTTACAAAAGCTAATGGAAATGGAGAATGTCTTAGGTTTAAAAAATTGTGTTAGAAAATGATAAAAGTATACAAATCAATATAAATAATTTTTATTAGTCGTACGTACTCACTCTGTTCCAAATTATAAGACGTTTTGACTTTTGACTTTTCTAGATTCATAACTTTTGCTTTGTACTTAGGTATATACCATGTCTAGATGACCAGATGCATAATAAAAACAATGTTTCTATAAATAAACAATATAGACATAGTTTGGAACGGAAGTAAACAATAAAAATTATTATGCATCTTGAAATTCTAACCCGACGACATACCTGGTTGATGAACTACAGTTAATATTAATAATCATGGAAACAAATCATCATGCCATACGTAGTTACGTGATCGAAGGGATGGTTGCGTCTGTAATACGTCCCGTACCAAATACTATACCATATGATATGTCCGCTGGCACGTTCGCTGTCGCCGGCCGTTTCAACGGAAACTGGCGCGCGGTAGCTCACGGACGCTGACCTGGTGTGTGCTGTGCGACAGTTTCCGCGTGTGTGAGGTCAGGCGCGGAGCGTTTCGTCTCATCGTATCAGCGGCTCCGTGGACGACGACGGCGACGAGCCGGCGTCGGTTGCACTCATGGTTTCCTTTTTTTTCCGAAATCTCCTGATATTTTCGATATATCTTTTTATCCGTAGGTGCCGATAAAAAAGTATCTATCTTTTTCGTACAAATTTTGTTTAAATTTATTTAAATTTACTTAAATTCAAATTAATTTTTATTTAAATTTGGTCCGATATTTCCGATATATCATGTTTATCCTCTTTATCTGTGACCCCCGATAAATTTTAATTTCCGAAAATGAAAACCTTGTTGCACTACGGCGTGCATGCATCCACTTCATACGTATCGGGAATCGGGATACATATGAGATCGGGGCAAACGACCGAGAGGCATGCATGTAACAAAGCTGTATACTTGTTGCATTCTACATGACGTACGTGTACGTATTAAATGTACCATATATTATGTCCATATGTTATGTATGTGTGAGTGCGATCGACATGACAGAACATGATGGCATGGTCGATGCTGCATCCAGCCATGCATACAGGTTTTTGAGTGAGGTTATATAAATATTGATGTTCTTTTTTTTCTAGAAATTCGATCAAACTTAGAAAAAACTTAATTAGAAGTCATTTTAAAAATAATTTATTTTGTAACTAACAGAGGAAGAAATATATATGTGCGCTACTCCACGTATACGTGTGGGCAGGTGGTTGGCAGGCCAGGGGATGGAGACCGATTGTGTATTCTCCGTTTCTCTCTACTACAGTACTACTGCTAGGCTGCTACATACGGGCGTACGGACGTGTCCTGAACCCGGATCCACGTGGTCAGCAGGCAGGGCATGCTGTGACACGTACGAGTACTCTGCATGCATGACGGGTTGGTCAAGCTAGCTGCAAGAAAACTCCCTCCCCGCCGCCGACGCCGCGCGCCGTCGTCGTCGTCGCTGACGATCGTCGTGGAATGGAAGATGTGAGCAAGCAGCCAAAGCACACCCGGCCGCCGGCAGCTCCCTACCTACCTACCGTACCCATGCAGATTGCAGAGCCATGCTTGCATGGTCTACGTACTACGCGACACAAAATATGCACTACACCCTTACGCCGCTGGAGCTTCTGCTCATATCGACCTCTTGGCTCTTGCATGCATTATTGGTCATCTATATATCAACAAGACGGCAAGTCCATCGCTTGCATGCGTGTCAAGTGTCAGCCAGCAGAATTACTTAGTAACCTAGCTTGTGCGTTTAATTGTATATATAATATAATGTACACGTATATACCTTAATTTCTCCATAACACTGTGTGTCCTTGACCTAGCTCGATCGGATGCATGTTTGCCCTCAACCACAAGAGTCCACACAGTGTAGCTATTTTTATATTATGTATGTATGTGGAGCATTGATATGGCCATCATAGGTGTTTGACTATTGTTAGTGATATTTGGCAGTGCAGAATACAACAGGATCAATACGTATATCCTGATGTTTTGAAAATATTTATGGAGACAAATACTAGTAATCTAGCTCGACATACAAAAAACTTCAAATGTTCAATCAAAATATGTAAAAAGGAAAACAATGAGGGACATTAGATGTAAAAAAAAGATTATAGACTGTTCTAAAGGAACACTCTTTGTGTGTGTATGGTGTGTGTGTGGAGGAAGTACTATTACCTCTAATATATCGGTACACCAACACGGTCTCTTATGTGATAGATATACTTTGACTCAAAAAGCATATTACCTTGAAACTAGTGTTTTCATAACAAGTTCTAGCAATGTTAACATTATGTTGTCAATTTTATATAATTGAAGAAACAACTAGAAGAAACCTTAGATGGAGCTAGCTATATATATTTGCCTTCGGTGCTCTCCCTTGGTTTATTTTTATACATCAAATTAGGATTTTGAAAAATCTTTAATAAGTGTACTTTATCACTAGTCACCCTTCGAGCAACTCTAAGAGATTAGCTAAAAACGTATTCCATATTTAGTGATTTACCTATTCTCTAAATAAAAACCTTTCAAAATAATTAAACTACTCCAGCAACCTCGGTAAAAAATTGATATTCAACCTCTAATATGGGCCCACTCCACATCACCAAACTAAAAAACCATTTATCTTGTTCTTCTTTCTCTCGCACTGCACACGACTCGACGACGAAATGTCATCGCAAGCCCTCTTCACTGTGAACTGATCTAGATCGACGAGTCTCGTCGTAGCATGGTTCATAGGCGCCGGCCAATTGGCGAGCGAGGATTATTCTTATCCAACTTTAGCGAGCGGTTTTTCTGCGATGGAGTTCTACCAAATTTGAAGAGCCATTTGAACAGTCTGTTGAAGACGTTTTTATTGGTCTAATAATAGCCATATTTATCTTTCCAAAACGACTTAGCTCTTCTCTTGGAGTTACACGCTCTTACAATATAGGAGTATCATCGTTTCAAGATTATAGTATGTATTTATATATTATATTAACCTAGCATATTAGTTTGACTTTTCTTTAATCCTAATAGTACACCCCATAAAGTGCCTCCCTAAATACACTACTACTAGTATATGTTAGCTATTGGTACATTAAGTATATACTATAGTTAACGCTTGTTAAATACTACAGTAAGAGTACTTGGTACACTATCTAGTCTTAAATTGTCATCGGTTTCCCAACAAAAAGGCCAATTGTAAGACACCTGATCTTGACCTCCAAGAATGAGACCGATCGACGACTTGTCTGCCCTGCCATGCCTTGCCACACCTGCAGCAGCTGTTTCCTGTTCTTAATTGACATTTATTCCAATCCAATTAGTAAATTTAATCAGGTAGGTAGGTTGGTCCCTGAGTCCAACTCCAACCACGCATACGCATGCATCAACGTGTGTACTAATTCCTGCCATTACCCCCCATTCATTAGTAACCAAATTGCCCTTCATTAACCCCCACACACGAAACCGTACTACGACCTTGTCCCCTCCAATCCAATCCTTCATCAGGTTGGTGTGGAATGGTGGCCGTGGCCGGCTGGTCGCCCCTGCCACCTATATAAACGCACGCACCAGCAGCCTGTGCACTCATCGGCCGCCACGCTGCCTTTGCCTTGCCTCCTCTTCGTCTCTCTCGTCGAGCCTTCTAGGCTAAACTGCTAGGTCCATCTCTCGCCACATCCATCGATCGATCGCCATCATATCGCCATGTCTAGCCTCACCACGGCCACCAGCAGCATGGAGGAGCAGTACTACTCCGTGTCCGCGGAGGAGGTCGGCACGCACCTGTCCCTCGGGATCGGCAGCGGCGGCGGAGCTAACAGCCTGCGGCTAGCGCCGCCGACCGCCGCGGACGGTGCAGCTGTTCGGCGAGGTGCTGTCGGTGCAGGACGATGATCGTCATGGTGACGAAGCGCAAGCACTTCGTCACCACCGGGGCCAGCCGACGGCAGCGGCGCCAGCAAGTAGGAAGAAGAAGAAGAGAGACACCGCCGTCGCCGGTGGCGCCACTGCCGCCGCTGCTGATAGGCATCAGAGCAAGAAGGCCAAGACGACGTGCGGCGATGGTGGCGGCGGCGGGAGGAAGAAGCTCCGGCTCACCGCCGCGCAGGCCACCATGCTCGAGGACAGCTTCCGCGCCCACAACATCCTCTCTCACGTATGCAACTTTGCATGATAATTCTTCATTCATCTCTTCCATGCCTCAATTCAGTTCATCGACTAATCAATCGATTCATCGATCAGGGGGAGAAGCAGGAGCTGGCGCGGCGGGTGGGGCTGAGCGCGCGGCAGGTGGAGGTGTGGTTCCAGAACCGGAGGGCGCGGACCAAGCTCAAGCAGACGGAGGTCGACTGCGACCTGCTCCGCCGCTGGTGCGACCGCCTCACCGACGACAACGCCCGCCTCAGGCGAGACCTCGCCGACCTCCGCCGGGCGGCGGCTTCGTCCACGAGCCTGGGCGCCGCCGTCTGTGCCTCATGCGGAGGGCACCGACAAGCAGCAGCCGTGGTCACCGCCGCCGGCAACATGCTGGCGTAGTGCCATAGTAACGTTCAGGTCACCTGACGACCATTCACCCATGGGAATCCAGAGGCCAAATTTCCATTTTTCTTCTTCTTTATTTATTCCCCTTTAAATTTCTGTGTACATATAAATGGGGCAGCTAGCTAGTATATATATAACGACCAAACTATTAGGAGAGGATTATTAGATACATGCATAAAGTAATTACTATAGTTTACTACTGCAACGAGCTTATTAAGGTGGTGTTTAGATGCGAAATGGGTTGAAAACTTTCTGCGAAATGTTTTCAAGGTGAAAACCCAATTCTGCAAAAAAATTTCAGACCCTGTTTAGATGTACTTGAAAACTTTTGAGCTGTAACAAAAGATGACAGATTTGCCCATAATAAATGATGCTTTTGGACCATTAATACCAGCCATGCACATGCCGGATCGAGCCGTCCGAACGCCAAGGGTACACCCGGAGGCACGGACGCGCACGGAGAGAGGGAAGCCGCCCTCGCCATGCTTCGTCCTGGCCGTAGCGTAGGAGGTTCTCATACCTCCCCATTCCGGGCCAAGCCTCGCCGTTGGAGTTGAGATCGAGGGAGGAGAGGCCGGCCCGTTGAGCGCTGATGGAGCTTGAGCTAGGGAACTGCGCCGGCGGGTCGGAGTAGAGGTTGAAAGTCGACGAGTGCTCCGATTGGGAGAAGAAATCGTGGGTGCCGTCGTCGTTTCCGTACCCGCCGCCATTGCCTTTGAATCCGTCCATGAGTGCTCGGACGCGGCTTGAAAGCCCGATCTACGCACGGAGAGGGCACGGCCGGCCGCGGTGAAGGAAGTGTGGGGAAGAAGGTGAAGGCTGGCGATGGAGGAGGTGGGGGAGAGACCGAGAGGAGCGGCTGCGAGGGAGATCAGCGCGGCGGCGGTGGAGGAGAGTGGCGGAGATGGAGATGGGGAAAGGAAGAAGGAGAGTGGCGGCCGAGCGAATGGATATGGTAAGGAGGGAGCGGGCGAGGGGTACAGGCGCGTCCAGGCGCGTCCAGGCCGCTGGACCGAGGCGAAAAATTTCGGATTCGGGAGTCTGGAGTCCAAAATGTGAAATTTTTTGGAGGGGAACTTTTTACACTTTTCACACCCATGTTTAGTTACATTTTGCAAAAAGATGACCCAGAATCCAAAATTATTTTGCAAAATAGAGGAACTAAACATGGCCTAACTCGTACTTTTAGGAGAGGATTCAGCTGACCAATATATGTTTACTAGTGGACATCGATCATATATATATACACATATGAGACCATCATTGATATTCTTCAAATTTGTGTCTGTTACGCGTCAACGGACGTGTTCTCGAAAAAAAAAATTGTGTCTGTGTTCACTCACTTTTAATTTAGTTTGGGTTTGATTCTTCATTTCATTGTTATTTCTTTCCAGGTGTTCTCTTCTTTATTTGTTTTTGAATTGGATTGGACTTGATTTTCTCGATGTACACGTGCCTGATTATGCTTTAGTGATTTTTTTTTTTTTTAAAAGAAAAAAATATCCATGCTTAGTGATCCTTTGAGGGATCGTGTACAATTTCTGATGTGGAGAAGTGAGCATGAATTCTTTCTAACAATTAGGAGCTGCTAATTAATCAGGTACAATAATCATGATGACAGTAAAGAATACTCCTGCGTTATGACATACTATGTTAGTATGTTACTGAAAGAGCATATATTACTGCTAGACTGCTAAAATGGGCAAGATATAGCTGTTCCATCGCCACAGTGGTAGATAGATCATTCATGGGGGGGCTCTGGACATGAGTAATTTGGGCCAACCAAACACCTCCCCTGGCTCGTGTCTGCATGCAAATTAACCGTGTTAATGGAAGAATCAAGAGCAGGCTATTCAGGAATCCTTAGCCACATCACATTATGCTACCTAGCACATATATGTTTCTTGGTCGCTTGAGCTACAAATAAACAAGTACTCCCTCTATTCCAAATTATAAGATGTTTTAATTAGCTTTTCTAGATACATAGTTTTTCTATGCATTTAGATACACACTAAATTTGAAACATATTGAGAAGAGTAGACTATACGGTTAGCCTCTAAGGATTTTTAATGTTCCTTGTTCTGATAGTGCAAACAAGGACCACGTTTTTTCTCTGTATGCTGATTCATATGGTGAACTTGACATTCTCACGTTAAATCATTTCTGTGGTGAGGTAACTGAGACTGTGAACTATGGGTATGCCAGTGATCTATGTGATCTACACAGGCAATTCCGAGAAAGAAAAGGTCAAGTTCACAAAAGAAAAAGAAATGTATTAAAAAAACTAAAGTCACTCAATGAAAGGGATCTTTTGGAATTGCAATGGGTTAGGAGACCCGAAGAAGTTTAAGTTCTTGTCTGTTGTAGTGCATGAAAAAAGTTTAGATTTTATTGCTCTATCAGAAAATGGGAGGAGGGATTGTTCCATGAATTTCCTTAAAAATCTTTGCGAGGGTAAGTATTATTTGTGGCACTGTAAAGCTCCTCAAGGCTGATCTGGTGGCATGCTTTTAGGTATCAATCCACAGGCGTTTGATGTAGCAGAGATTGAAGAAGGAGATTTCTTTGTTAAATCCAAATTAAGAAACAAAAATGATGATTTTAAATTGATTCTTTTTTCAATTTATGGGGCTGCACAAAACCATCTTAAAGAAACAATCCTTACACGGTTTGATGTGGACATCACTCCTTTAAATACAAGCCAAGGAGACGAGATGGAACAATGTGGGAGACCAACTCATCTACACCATGGCGGAGGCACAGTACAACTCAAGTTGGAGCCCATCTTAGACTCGAGGAGCAGTCCCGGGTAAAATCAACGCCTAGGACGCATACAGACTCCATTTTTTTACGATCCACATACGCATGAAAATCTAATTTCATAAGCTAACCATTAGCTTTGGTTTCACGTCATAATTCATCCGGAGTCAATAGGAATCGTCAAAACAAGTCATCGTGTCAGGGTGCAGCGACACCGACTTTTGGTCCCTTGGGCCGCGTATCACCATCTCTTGATCTTGTTCGTCTGTGTTGACTAGTCCTTCCAAATCAAGACTTGAACCTCATATCGTATACTTCACTTATATTTACAATTTCAGATTGCGTTCATCTCGTTCTTACTTGTGTTCTAGATACGCTTGCAGAAAAGTCTTCTTGATGAGGTCAATCGCGTTGTGCATGGCTGATAACCAATGGAGTAGTGGTGTAACAGTTGCGGGGATCCAAATCATACATGGTTTGAAGCCTAGATCATGAATGTCCAGTTCTCCACCAATCGAAGTTATCATACCTATCGGAAGATCGGGTCGCGTCTATACCATAGTTGGTCCATTTATGTACTTAAGCAAACCTTACCTATCTTAATATAGGTGGTGACTTTAGTATATGGGCCAAATCTCCCCCTAATATAGGTCCAACTAGTAGCTAGAATAGTGTCACGTGAAATCCAACCCCACCCAAGGTCCACTTGTCAATAGCCATTGCCTATATAATGCCAAGGGTATGAGGGAAAGGGACCAAACCTCTCACTCATCTCCACTTGTACAAAACCCCGGTGTGTCCCTTCTCCATCACCGAGCTCTCTCCTCCCTTTTTCTCTCTTATTCGGAACCGTTAGTTCCAACACATTACATAATGTGTCATATCGAATTCCCCATCATATCATTATAGGCATCTATCAACAATATATGTGGATTTGTCTCACGATATCTATGGGTGAATTGATATCATGATCATGTTTATTGCTGATTGCCTTAGAGACCTTTCCAGATTTCATCTTATGGATGTGTTCCATCAACTCTTTTGAGTAAAGCCATAGAATTTGGCTCTAAAGGAGTTAGTCTCATACAGTTTGTTATCGAGTTGGCATTCGGAGAAATTTGGATAGAACTAATAAGCACACTGTATTGAATACATACTATAGACGGTAGCTTCTGAAAAGTGCACAACATATGTTCTAATAGAGAGTTTGACGTGCTTTGAGGGTTCTCCATGACACCTCGATACTTGTATAGTGTTTCAAAAGAATTGAATCTATGAGAGCAGATGAACCCACTCTTGTTATACCAACCTCACCATCTAGAGCAGGAAACTGTAATTCTTGACAAACTATAGCATAGTAACATCTTCTCCCACCATATATTTCTTTTCACCTTCAAGTTTAATCTCAAAGGCTCCGTGTTGTGTCTCCACCCAATAATATAAAAGTATCTCCCTTCGAGACATAAGTTAAGAGATTGATTTTTGTACTCCAATGTAAGTAAAAATGTGCCATTGCTTGGTGTTGTGAAAACCTCAATGTTACATCCAAATATTGTCCATATGTCAACAAATTTTCCATTTCTTTTGCACCAACGGATACGTCCAATACCTCTTCTGAAGCTTGCTACGATTTAGCTGGACCAACAGGAATTTAGGTGTGGCTTTGGGTTTTATCATATTGATATAACAAGTGTGTTTTTTACTGTCTTCTTAATGGGTGTTTGGTTGCTTCATGAAGACATTTTTCATCATTTTGTTTTATGTATCTGCCTAATATTAAAGAGCAAAAATTCCATTCTCTGAATTTTTCCACCATGTCGGCAGCAGCTGTTATACTCTGTAACAGGGGCAAAGACAGGACAGATAGAGAGTTGGAGACGGATACTGGGAGAAGTTTTTCTAAATCGGCGGAGCGAGGGAGGTGCAAGAGCAGTGCACAAATTGAGGTTGTTTCTACTAGATCGACATCAAAACAAGAGGATGAATCAAATCAAATCGAGACTGAATCGAAATGGACAACGTGACCAAATGGAAATAAACTTGAGATAAATCAAGGGAGCTTAGGGGTGAGGTGAAATCAAAATTGAATAGAAACGAAAACACAAATTTGAGAGTGGAGAAGTGAAATCAAATTTGAATAGAAACAAAGCTACAGACACATTGACCAAAGTTCCCTAATAGATGAGCACCTTGTGTGCGGCCGTGTGAGAAGATCCTGCCACCCATGGGAGAGCCCTCGGTAGGACCCAGTGGCAAAAACCTGAGAAGCCCTCGGCTGACGGTAACGATGAGGCCCGTGGCACTCACAGCGCAGTGCTGGCCACGGAGGTGATCGACATATAGTAGGAGACAAGCAAGTCGATGTGGAAGAGGACAATGCACCGAGGGAACCTACCAATAGGATCCAGTGATCTGGGCCTCAGTCTTCTGAAGGCCCAAGCGCTGAGCCCACCACCCGAGGTCTCCTCGACTCCTCAATCCTAAGGAGCCCACAACAGAACCCGACGTCCCGACCCCCTGACCATGAAACCCCTCGATCATGTGTGGTGCACCCAGGCAGGTAGGCCCTATCCTCATGTCTTTGTTTGTTTTTTTTTCAAAAAGTAATATTTTAATAATAGCACATTTTTTTGAAGAACCAGCGGTAAGAGCATGCCGGGTATGTATTAATAGAGAAGAAGTTTTATAAAAATTAATAAAAAGACAAAACAAAACCTCACGAAGGAGGCAACATCAAGAACTACTGCTGCAAGAAACACAAAACCAACAATCCTCAGAAAGCAGCAGCCATCAAACGCCACTCTACGCGCCACAAGGGACAAGTGATGTAAACTAGAAGAGGGAGTTGGTTTCCACGGCGATGCCTCCAAGGAGGAGAACGACATCCAAAGATGTAGTCAACGCCAAATGGGGAACCAAGGTTTTTCAACCTTACTCCTGGAGGGTAGACGGGGCCTCACGACAATGCCTCCAACGAGGGATGTGCCGCCAAAGGCGTCACCATTGTCGGCCAAAGCCAAGGGCCTAGCAGGGCCTTCGCCCGACAACCCCGACACCCCAAACTCAAACCAGCAATATCATGGACAACCATAGCTAGCCGCCGCCGACAGGAGATCGCTATGACACCGACGAGGTCATAGGCATGCGTAACCTGCCGCCACCACGCTAGCCAAAAGAGCCGCCTCCATCCTACATGACATCGGCCACCGTGGAAGGCCACATCTTGATCCTGTAGCTGCAAAGAGGGCCGCCAATGCCATTGCACAAATACGCGCCACAAGCATGTAGAGAAACAACGT